AGATGGAGTGACGCGGGGCGCTGCTTCTTCAGAACGAGAAGCCGGCACCACACGATGGTTGGAAAACAACCGTTGGTCGATACTGACGGTGGCTAGACACTGGCGATGATGATAGAGAAGGTGCAGGTGAGGCTGATCAGGAAGTGCACGACGAGTGCGCGTGGAGACGCGCGCGTGTTGCCACGTCGTACAAGTTGATAGAAATTGTCGGGTGCGCGATGATCGTCGAATGCTCTCGACATGCGCGCTTGTGACCCGCATTCCCTCATGTCACAGAATTGCTAAAACGTGCCTTCTCTTGTGTCCTGGAATTTCTCACGACTCTGGGCTCTCCAACGCTGCTCAGCGAACAAGAAAGTCGCCGACCCTGCTGGCGTGTGGAAGACGCTGCTCTGTCTGACCCGACGTCGCCTTCAAAATCCGCGTCGTCGTCGTCGTCGCCGTAATGTTTGACGCGACGTCGTCGTCGTCGTCGTCGTCGTCGTCGTCGTCGTCGTCGTCGTCGTCGTCGTCGAAGTCACTGGGTCCTCCTCCAGCGGGTCAGCCACAGCGAAACCGAACCGAAACCTCAAAAGCGCCAGCCAAAGCGAAACCAAACCGAATTTGAGCAACGTCGTTGCTGACTCGAAGGAAGCCCCTTCCCTTTGATCCCTTCCCCCCCACCCCGGGGGGGATCCCCTGGGGGGGGGAGGGGGGGAGGTTGGAGGTCTCGAGTAAATACCATCCCCCCAGGGCGGTCTCTAGGCCGACATTGCCCCGAGGCGGGCCAAGAGTGCCCCAGGAGGCTCCCGAGATGGCCGCGGATCGCCGAATGATTGGTCCTAGACGCCAGAGATGGCCTCCAGACGGCCCAAGGGGCCTCCACGACGTCCTAATAGCTTCCGAGAGCCCTCCCAAGATAGCTCCGAGAGGCAAAACTCTTCGGTTTTCCTGATGTAAAGATTCGGGCGTTCTCGCCTTTACGATGACATTCCTCCTCCTTCTCCTCCTCCTCCTCCTCCTTCTCCTCCTCATGCTCCTTCTTCCTCCTCCTCCTCCTCCTCCTCTTCCTCCTCCTCTTCCTCCTCCTCCTCCCAGTCCTCCTCTTTCTCCTCCTCTCCTCTCCTCCTCCTCCCCTCCTCATCCACTCCTCCTCCTCCTCCTTCTCTTCCTTTTCCTCCTCCTCCTCCTCCTCCTCCTCCTCCTCCTCCTCCTCCTCCTCCTCCTCCCCTTCCCCCTCCTCCTCCTCATCCAGCCCTTTTCCTTATAAATCCGCCGGCCCAACGGGCCAAGGGCGCGCAGATCCCGGGTAACTGGTGAACAATATTCTGGTTCGGGCGCGCGGGGCCGCCCCTGGGGGTCCCCGGACGAAAAATACCCCGGGACACCCCTGGGACACCCACGGGACACTCGGATCAGAGATGCCAGACCGGGCAATTTTTCGACACCCCTCACGAGGATCGTGGCCTCCGAGGGGAGGGGCGCAATCGACTACCCCCCCTCCTGACCCAAGAGGTCCCCAAGACTACCCAAGAGGCCCCCGAGACGCCCAAAGAGCGCTCCAAGACGCCGATGATGACCCCAAGACGGCCTAAGAGGCCTCCAAGTGGCCTCCAAGAGGCCTCACAAGAGGGCCCGAGAGGCCAAAATCATAAATTTTACGATGGTGTTGGAAGGATTTTGGCCTTGTCGCCTTTTCGGCCATCCGATGCTCCAACACGGCCCAAGAGGCCCCCAAGAGCGCCCCAAGACGGGCCAAATGGCTTCCAAGAAGGCCCCAAGAGGGCCCAAGAGGGCCCCGAGACGGCCCAAGAGGCGCCCAAGACGGCCCAAGACGGCCCCAAGAGGGGCCCAAGAGGGGGACCACGAGCCGAAAACTCGAGCCTTCCGCCCCAAGAGGGCCCCAGGAGGCCCCGAGAGGCCCCCAGGAGGCCCCCAGGAGGCCCCAAGATGCCGCGAGGCCCAAAAGAGGCCCCTAAGAGGCCCCAGAAGTTCAAAAATGCCTCCCAGGCGCCCCCGAACGGCTTCTCAAAAGACCCCAAGAGGCCTCCCAAAGAAGCATCTTGACGACGACCCTGTTTGGCCCCAAGAGCAACACAAGATGCCAACGAGAGGCTTCCTCCTCCGCCCCTTACCCTTCCTCCTCCTCCTCCTCCTCCTCCTCCTCCTCCTCCTCCTCCTCCTCCTCCTCCTCCTCCTCCTCCTTGTCTTCATCCTCCTCCTCTCCTTCTCATCCTCTCCTCCTCCCCCCCTCCCCTTCCCCATCCTCATCTTCCTCCTCCCCGGCGGCGCCACAATAGCGGCGAAGCAGTAGCGATCATGCAACATGGATCGGCGGAGTGAGCGAAGCGATTGAATAACTTCTCCCTGTCGCACACCAAGGCCAGTTCTTAGGGAGGCCCTGGCGTTTCGCCTGAGGCTTCCTCACCATTTAGAACCCTGAAATTTGTTGAGGGCGGGTAGTTTTCAAAATGTGGCTCTCGCCTCAGCGCCGCGCACATTCGTTTGCAAAAGAGCTTCA